GCTACTTTTAAATTACTTTTGGAAGACAAAACCCTAAACAATTTGAGACCAGCAAATCACCTTCCCCAATATAGATCAGAAAAGAGCCTATTTGAATCAAAAATCATAACATATTTTGAAAACACTTTGCCCAAAGCCCCTGCAAATTTAACAATCTGCATTCTCTATAATATAGTTTCTCAACCCTAGCAACTTTAAGATGTGTAGACTTCAATTCCATGGTAGTTGGGGAATCCCGGGAGTTGCTAGGGTAGAGAAACTTTCTGCAGGCTCTTAAAATCAGTATTATTGCCGCTACTCAGAAAACATTGTTTCTCCAAGTCTGGAACTATGTCTGAAGTTTTGAATTAGGGCCATATCCTGGCATTGTCCTCCTATCTCAATCTATATATAAAGTTGCTTAACTATTGCTATCATTGGCACTTATATGGATCCTATTTCAGCCATTTAAGAGTATAATGGTGGTAAAGCTCAGATTTCAAGCAGAGGTTATTTTTGGCAGTTATGCAAAATATTCAGGCCAGGGACGCTTCGCGAGTTGACACAAAGGAGATACTTCAAAAAGTGTGCTATCACAAATGTACATTTCCTCAAAAATTAAAGCAGCTATATTCTTTGGAAGCTTATTTGAAAATCTGCAAAGCTAGTTGCCCGGGATGCGTGTAGAAGCCTTGGGAACAATCAAAACTAAGCTTGAGATGAGTTATGTACTAGCAGGCAGGACACCACCATACATGTAGTTTTTAAAATGTTTTCTTGGAGCAACACTTTTATTACTTTCTACCACGCACATATACATCAACACTTTTCACTGCAATTAAGCTTTAAAACAGTGAGCTGACATCCATACAGGTGTCAAACTCGTCGCGTCACGTTGCCATCACATAACGTTTTGCAATGTTTTCCTCATTCGCGGAGCTGAGGTGGGCATGGCCTGCATGTGACACATCCAGCCCCCAGGCCACTAGTCTGACACCTCTGCAGAGGAAATCAATGTTTCAAAGGGAAGCCAAACAAAACAAGCTAGTTTTTTCCTCATTAGCAATAACTCTTATATCAAGTCCTCTTTCCTCAATTAGTTATTAAAATTATCTTGTAAACAGTGACAATTTCTTGATAAAAAATGTGGAGGAATCTGGATGGAGAAGTCTGTGAGAGCCTGAGGTTAAGCATGCCATTTATAAATTCTATGGAGACTGCTGTTAAGTTGATATTTTCTCTGCAAGCGTTACCATTTTCTTCTGTTTGGCAATTCTGAATATATAGACTTTTGGCTAAGCAGGCCATAAGCTAGCAGTCCTTTAGGCTGTCTGGTTCATCCCACTGGACTACCTATCATAAATCACATTCTCCCACTAAAAGGTTATGATTTCAGGTCTAATTTGCTTCTGCTAAATTCTAAGAATTAAATTGTCTTTTATCATGATTCCTTATTTATTGTTTAATAAATATGGTGAGGAAATTGCTTGTCTTAAAGGGAAAAAAGTGATTTTTTTTCTGCGTTTAGAAGCCTTTGAAAAAGAAAATTCAGATCAATAACACATAATCAAATCCAGCCGCAGAGAGCTGACTATTATTGGTTGAAACACAGGCTAGGGCTTTTGCAGGGAGCCACTCCCCCATACAGACCTGCATTGCAGTCATGGATTTTTTAAAAAATCCTGCTCATCAGTGGAGACAGTCAGAAAGGACACATACATATCTCCTAAATTTTGATGTTTAAAATCAGGTATTATCAAAAGTTTAATCTTATTTGTAAGTATGATGACATCTATTTTCCCACTGTAAATCTCTTCATGGAAATTAAAGGGATTACAAAGGGACATACTTAAGTGAAATTAGCAGTCACTAACTAGACTAAAATACAACAAATGAAATTTGTTATCCTTAAATAAACTATGAACAATCTCCCTTCCATTTCAAGTATTTCCTCTGATAGACATATATTTTATGGACCAGCCTAGACATTTACAGGAGTTGGAATAAAAAAATGTTACCAGTCACAAGACAAAAACATGAATTCCTGCATTATATAATATTGCTGATATGCGAGTAGGGACAAGAAAAACTATTGAAACATTAATCTCTTCTGACCTTCCCCTTTTTATTTACATCTTTTTAAAAATCTAAATATTTATATAAAAAAGGAAGAGGTTGCTCTGTATACAGTAATTCTGTATATTATTAAAGCCTCCTGCAAATGCATTCTTTTATAGGGATCCTTGTGAACGAATATACAGACAGACACATTATCCATTCAGCAGTAATTATTGCATGGGATAGAATCCATGCTAGTAAATGAATCGTACAGATATAAAACCTAAGATACAAAAACAAAAATCTAATCACCATAGTTCTAAGCACACAGCAGATATTCATAAATATATTCATAAATATTGACATATTTAAATGCTTGTGCTGGATTATCTAATAAAATATATAGTATATTCAAAAATAACAATTTTGTTAAAAAAATATTAAAGATCTGAATTGTTACCATACAGAGTTACAAGTAAAATAATATAGTTCTGAAAAACTAACACCTGCTCATTTGAATACATTCTTTTAAGGCAGCATTAAAATGTCAAATAACAGTTTTAGATAAATTGGGCTTTTCTAAATTTTTCTCTTAAGATTTAATAAAAATATTTTTCATGTTTAAGAGATGGATTCTTAAAAATCAATTCTTTATAATTAAAATTTTGAGAAAACTGAAATAACTCCTGAGCAGTTGGCCATCTTGGCATCACTAGGAAATATCTCCACATACACCCCTTAGGTTTTATTCCTGAAATTAGCAATTTGATGTTATACATTTAAGAACATTTTAGAAAGACAAATGCAGGATATCATACTGATATAATTTTTCAATATACATTTTAATAAAGCTTATTTTCAAGAATAAACTTTTCCAGTCTTGAGATTTCTAGATAAAACAAATACGTACATATATATGGATGAAGGTAAAGCAAAGATATACCAGTACTATCTTCATTTTTCACCATGTAATTAATTTGATTTTAAAAATTCTTGCTTGCCCAGCTAAGTGGGAAATCAACCGGGAAATCAAAAATAATTTTGAAAGAAAGAGATGGCAAACCACCTGTGTATTGATTCCAAACTATGTCTATGAAATCACCAGAAATCAGGTCTGTCTCAAAGGGAACTTTTTTTCCATGCTTTAACTATGTTATTAAACTGCAACTCTGAACATGTTATCAACGTTATTTTGAGCAGTTTTTTATAAACCCTATTATATATTTGTGTACTTGTGCATGTATTTAATGTCTCATCAAATCATTTGTGCATATATTACCTGCCTCTTACTTTTGTGAAATCTTATGAGAAATCTAATTGTACTACAAACCACTAATAGTGAGGAATTCAAGATAAGAATTTTTTTTTGAAAATGGTTCCATTTCAACTAAAACGTGAAACAGTGTTGTAAATTTGTTTGCACGAATACAATTTGTTTACAAGATTTGGTTAGTATTAATATAAATAATTCGACCGTAGATCAGAAAAACCAAAACTATAATCCTAAAACCAAATTATCATCTCTCCTCTGGAGCGTTTTTCAACTAAGTAAAATATGTTTGTTTTGAATTTCACTGAGCATATATGCAACTGTGCATAAACAAACCGAGGAACCCAATCCACCGCCCTATGCCTCTGAAGAACAAGATTTCTGGCATGGTTTTAGCCGTTGTTCCTGAGAGATTTTGCTCTTCCAGGGAGGTGGGGAGGGCGCCTTTCTTTATGCTAGGGACAATGTTGCCTCCTCGCCTCGGCTTTTAAAAGAGCGCAGCCGAGAAGAAATGGCGCCCTTTCCCGTACAGCCCAGCAACAACAGAAGCAGGCGAAAGGGTCAGCCGAAGAGTGCCGCTTGGCAGAAAACTAACATGTATTTATTTAGCCTACGAAACCCCAATCGAAGCTGATTTATCAGCTCAAGAGGGTGCTACCGTATTTCCTCTTGAAGGTCTCTTCTGTGGAAGGATGGTGGGGAAAACACGGAGGTTGGGTATCTGACCCGAACGTTTATTTCGAATTCGGTCGTGGGGGGTGGGGTGTCGACCGATTTGCACGGTTAACGGCTTCTTCTGGGAGCGTCCCCGCGTGTGGGGGGAAAAAAGCAACACGCGCCATCGAAGCGCCTCCTTTCACCCTGCAAGACAAAACGCAATTCGGCTCCGTGCGGCGGAGCCCAAGATGGAGACTGTGAGCGAGCAACAATGAAAGGACCGTTTTTGCCTCAGAAAGGGTGCCGTCCTTCGCCCGGTACTTTCTTTCTAGGACGGCGAAAGCACAACCCAGAAAGGACAAATGAACAAACCAGTCCAGAAAGGGGCAAGCGAAAAACCAAGCTGCGTTTACTTTAGACAAAGCAGCCGGGTTCCCATTCACTTATCCCCTCCCTTCCTTGACGTCCTTTTTCAACCCGGCGCTGCCCGGATGCATTGGACTGGCTACAGTAACTCCGAAGAACCCTCGAGAGCGGCGAGATCAAATGGGGCGTATACTCCAATATACCAGAAAAAAGCGTGCACCAGTTCGGGAAAAGCCACCCAATACTGATACACGCTTTCTCGGCAAGCGCAGATGAGCCGGTTAGAGGAGAAAGAAACACGGCTACGCTATTCAGCCCCCTCTCGAGCCCAGCGTTCTTCGGTCCGAGACCGAGCACGAGCCGAGCGAGAGGAAGCGCGCGCGCGCCTGCACGCACATATACAAGCCTCCTCCAAGCGGCCGATCTCGCGCTGGCGGCTCGGGCCGTTCTTTACCACTACCCACTTCGCCTCGATGGTTTAAGGCGGGGCAACGAGGTGACGGACAGCCGCGCGCACCAAGCGCGTGGTCTGGAATTTTCCTCCCAGGTTCTACCGTTGCTCTCCTTCGTGGCGGTCCCCTCCTCTTTTTTTCCAGGTACTTAATGACACGCGGACCACCTCATCCTTCCCCTTCCCCCTCCAGCCGGCACAACTTGTGAAATACCGTACTGTACAGTAGCTCGTATCAAAAACATAAATTTGAAACAATTTCTCCCCCCTCCTCTTCCTCGCCCCCGTTTCCTTGCCGCCGAGCCCGCCTTCCTCCCTCACGTGGCCTAGTTTCCTCTGACCCGCTCCTCCCACCCCCTTCCTCTCGACTCCATATTGAGGCTGAAGGAGGCTCACAAAATCCAGTCACAAAATGGAGGTAACGATGCTCGGCGTCGCGCGGGAACAGCGGCGGGCAATGGGCTTTAGCAGAAGCGGACCCCGGAGATAGCTAGGCGCGGCAGACGAAGCAACGAGGCCAGGGGGGAGGGGGAGCGGGCTCTTGACCGGCTCTCGAGCTGGCCCGGTTCTTTGCTTTCCCCCACCACCACCACCACCAGCGATGTCTCCGAAATGGCGCAACGGGGTGGATGGGGGGGGGGAGAGTGGAGCGGGAAAGGCGGCTGCTTCGGCCGCCATTGTGACTCCCGCGCGGAGGAGAGAGGCTGAACTCCAGCGAGAGCGGCCGCAGTAGAGCCGGGGGTGGTGGTAGTGGTAGTGGTCAGCGTGGCCCGTTAGGTAAATCCCAGGCAGCCGGCCCTGTTTTCCTTGGAAGGGACGAGAAGGTTAACGGAGGATACAGCGCGCGCAATAGAGACACGTGCACACGCAGATACCGCCGCCGCCTCGTAATTGTGCAGGGTTTGGTTTAAACCCTTAGGAAAACGCTCCCTTTTTTTCTCTCTCTCTCTCAACGGTGTGTGTTGTGTTTTGCAATCCCTGAGCAAAATGCCATTAAGTAGGATCCCCAAATATGAATTGTCGAACGCTGCTTCTGTGAACCTGGTCGTTGAGAAATAGTACTAAATATTGCACAGTTAAGGTTTCTTGTCTGTAACGTCTGCCACCCCACCCCCCGCCAGAGTGATATCGTATGTACGCCGCCACCTCACCGCAAAAAGATATAGCATAAGTGCTACGGTTAGTTTTCTTTTTTGAGCAGTCCTCTGGCAGGATTTGAATGATTTCGATATAAAAGCTATTGGGAGTTTTGATCGTTCTTAAAAGTAGTGTTGGATCACTTAATGTTTTTTGGAATCAGTATCTTTTTTTCTTCTTGAAGCTACGAGTATGAATTTGGCTGGTTCAGATAACCACCGTATTTTCTATCTCAGGTGTAATGAATCTTTAGATTCTTGAATGACTAGTATCCAAACCTAAGTTTTGTAATTACATTAAAGTGAACAATCCTGTTATGTCTTTGAGTGCTCTTCACACTTGTAAGTATCACAGGATTAGTACTGTAATTAAATCCTCTTTTTGAATCCAGGTGTGACATAAAAGTCAGTAAACTGTGTATATAAGAAGATTGCACAGTGTGGAATAGATTAACTTTCTGGACCCTTTATTTCTGAATTGTTTAATTTAACATCATACCATAGCCACAATTTTAAAAGTTTTTTTTTTTTTGCCTCTGCCACATAAATTGCCAAACTATATTCAATTTTTAGGAAATCATTAACCTATGCACATCTAAGTTGCAGAAGAAACAGACACCTATGGTTGTATGTACCAATTTATTTGGAAAAATATGCCACTCAGTTGAGTTCCAAGTAGCCTGAAGTATAAGTAACTGAACCTAAAACACTTCATTGGGGGGGATCATAATTTGGGGCATAAAATATAGAAATTATGTTTTGATTGTCAAATGATTCAACTAGAGAATAGTCTTGTTCAACAGGAATTCAAGGTCATAAAATGACATTAGTATTATATTTTTAACACTAAAGATCAGTGATCCTAAGGTTCTACCTGCTTCTTTCTTGCTGAAATCAGCTCTGCTGGGGCTTGCTATTGTGTGTGGTTTCTAGGCTTGCATTCTCTATCTTTGCTTTTCCAAACTATAATTTGGGAACATGTGTCAGCAGCTGATGCTTCTGTGTCACCTATAGTTTTGAAAGAAAAAGCAGAAAGGGCCTTGTATTTCTTGTTTGGTTTTTCTTTTTTCTGGCCTTGTAGAAGGGAGAGTAGAAAAGCCTACAGTTTTAAAATTCCATCTACCCATTTTTAAGTGGGCTGGTATAATGTGAAGGCAAAACAAATGCAAAGATTGTCAAGTTATGTCCCATTTTAAACTTTTTATTTCAAGAAAAGTTTTATATGCATATCAGAATCTTAGCAAGAAAAGATGTCAAAGAAAGTATACAAAAGTATATTGAAACCCAAGAATATTTTTAATTGGAGAGGATGGGATTTTTTGTGATAATCTATACCAGCCTCAATTCTACTTGTAATTCAATTACTTCAGGATTGTAAGCAATTCTTTTAGCTGAATGCAATTTTATCAATTTTAGATTCAGCTCTCTCAAATCTATAGCCTTGGGATGATGGGTTTATTGTACAGTTTTATAACCCTTCCCAGTAAATAGAGATATCTCTGATGGACATCAGAAACATTCAGACTTGGTTAAAAGAATGATATGAGGTAGAACAACTCTACGAAATATCAGAAAAAATGCTCAAACCTCTGAAGACACGGAGTTCCAAAGGACAGAGATTGTAACAAAGAGGACTTGCCATCTTGTCTTTATCTCAGTGGTGATGCAGTGGTTAGAAAGCAGTATTGCAGGCTAATTCTGCTGATTGCCCACTGCCAGTAGTTCAAGTCTAACGGGCTCAAGGTTGACTCAGCCTTCCATCCTTCCGAGGTCGATAAAATAAGAACCCAGATTGTTGGGGGCATATTGTGTAAACAACTATGAGAGGGCTGTAAAGCACTGTGAAGTGGTATACAAGTCTTATTGCTATTGCTATCACTTCACATCATAGAGTGAAGGCTTTTTTTTTTTTTGAGATACTCTTACCCAACAGTTAGGTTCACCTCTCTCAAGGCAGTACCTAATAACTTGGTGCAGTGGAAGTGCTGTTTTTAAATGTGAAACATGTTTAATAATTTGTTAACTACTTAATAATTTTAGCCATAGGGAAATACTAGTGCCCAGTTACAGCTGCATTTAAATATGGTGCATTTTTAATTAATATATATCTGAGCAAGGTCTTGAGTACTTATATGCACAAGCTTGATTTAAGACATTGAGAAGCTGTTTTCCAAATGCTCAAGCTAGTAGCTTTTGCTATAGCAAAATCCTTAAATATTAATAACCCCTCCCAGATCTAAAGATCTAGAATAGCACAGTCAAGAGGAGTATCCAGGGAATAGGCTGTTTATAAACTGAGTGCATTGGAGATGGTCTTGATTCTCTCTCCCCTGCTGGGATTTGCTTCTTTAGTCCATATGATGAATGCAAATAAATATCTTATCTATTCAGAAACAATTTTAATCTATTCTTACTGCATAGTTTTGAATACAGTTTAATTGGCTAGCAGTTCATTTTGCTATCCTTATAGCATATCATGATGAACATGCTTGTTTTTTCAATTGATACTCTGTGTTTTTATTTTAAAAATACATTACATGAGTTGATAATAGAAACCCATCCTTTTTTACTTATTTACTTATTCTCTCATACAGTAACATTACTTAAGCTAAAGTGGCTCCAATATATTGTCCATTGAAAATTAGGGCCCCTTTATTTGGTATGAGAGTAAGGAGAAAACTCACAGGAACTCCTACTACTTGTTACCTAGGTTAAAAGGAGCAACTGAGTCAGAACACACTCCCAAAATGGCGTGTAAAGAGGAGAGAGAGGATGAAGATTACAAGAGAAGGGGAAGAAGATCCTCACAGGTGGAATATTTTTATGATTTTAGCGTTTTTACTTGAGTTAACGAGTCAGTTTTTGCTTGCTGCTGCTTTAATCGGTCTATGTGGCTCAGATTTCACATTGCACTTACTCTGTTCTGCTTCGCTTTTGAAAATACATTCTTTCCTTTTCCCAGTATAAAGATTTACAGAAAGTGCACTATTATATGCATAATTTTATAAATTTATGTTACTGTGAAGGGAATAATTTGAAAACTAATATCTAAATAAATCTTAAAATTGTAGTTAAATTATTAAAGTCCAGAAACAGGCAATTATTGGTGGCTCTGTCTGCTTGAATGGGCATGTCTAGTTGACTAAAATCCATGTTGCATTGAGGAGGTAACTACAGGTAGTTCCCAATTTACAATAGTTCATTTAGTGAACATTCAAAGCTACAAAGATACTGATAAAAGTAACTTATGACCACTTTCACAGTTATGATTGTTGCAGCATCCCATGGTCATGTGATCAAAATTCAGCTGCTTGGCAAATTGACTCATATTTATGATGGCTGCAGTGGTCTGGGGTCTGCTGTTGCATCAGTATTGTTCCATAAAAACTAGAACATTGAGAATTGAAAATTAACATTCTTTTAAAAAGAACATTGTATCTGTTTCATATAGTAAAAAACTGAATTCAGACTCAGTTGCATCATTCAAAACTAGGTCAAATACAGCTATGAATTGATAGATCAGCTTACTTGAATAATACCTGAATCTTTGGGTTATGTAATATTTACATATGTTCAGCAATTAAGCTGTTTTTGAGAACTATGGCCATCTGTTGAAAATTAACTATAGAAATTGTAATTATTAACAGTATTCAAGCAAATAACCTTCAACATATTAGAAATTATCAATATATGCTTTAAATAATATAACTTTAAACTCCTATAATTGAAAATTCCTCCTTGTATTCATTACAATTTCTAACTTATAATATATTTATACGGAACTGCAAGAGCTTGCTACTGTCCACAAACAGATGGCTTGTGTAACCTGCATAAATGTATCTTAAGGAATTAGGGAGAATTAGAATGATAACAGTGGTAGTTCTTGAAAAAATTGTAACAGTCCACACTTACTTTTAGTTTATTTAGTGAAACCTTTATTTCCTCTGTAATGTTGAATTGAATAAAGATTATAGAAACATAGAAAACTGATGGCAGAAAAAGTCCTAGTGGTCCATGGTCTTTTCCATCTAAGAAAGAGATTGTTGGGGCTAGTAATTTGGTAAGGAGAGGCTTTAGAATTAAGAGTTATGGAGACTTTACTGTTTACAATAGGTGATATGTTCTTTCGTCAGGGAAAGATTAAAGTGTACAAGCAGTGTTCCATCCATTAGAAATACAACTATTCAAAGGGAAAGAAAGTGTAAGCTAACTCTTTTGTCAGTATGGCCATTTCCATTTGAAAACATCATAGGAGATCAGAATAAACATTTCAGCTAGTTATTAAGGCCAATCACCATTTGATGTTTAGTTTTCATTATTCAGATAGTAACCAAAACGCCCTTAAAGTCAGCTGTTGCTATAAATTCAAATAGTTTTACAACTCAAATGCAGATTGTTGGGTTTTTTTCCTATTCTGTGTGCCTTTATCATTATTAGACACACCCTATTTGATTCACTGACAAAATGACTGTCAGTTAAATAACTTCCTCCTTCCTTTACAATCTTGGAATTTGAGGTAATCACTTTAAAACATGTTGTTACTGAGGCAGAAAGAAATGGTGATGTGTTTGTTCTGAGAATCACCAATTAATCTGATTAATTCAAAAAATGTATAACTTCTAATAAATGCAAATTAAACTTGATACTAAATTTATGTTCCTCTTGGTGAATTGTTTCAAATGAAGAGTTGGTAAACAGACTGTTAATCTGAAAAATTGAGATTTTTTTAGTCACTCCATTTCCTGGATTTTTCAGTTTGTAACTCGGGATATGTTTGGAAAGAAAATGTATTGAACTCTGCACACATTCTCCTCAAGTTTTGTTGTTCCATTCTGCCCACATGAGACTGTTTTCAAAGAGAAAGATACATTTTGAGCAGATCCGGAAATTCTGGATAGAGGAAATATGATTTTCAGTTTGAGAGACTGGACTAGGAAATTACTGAACAGCAGCAAGGAGAGAGAATAATTTTGACTCTTTACTGTTTTCTAGTGCTATTTAGAAAGGAAGACCAGATTCTTTAAACACTCAACCTAGTGTTTAAAGAAGTGTGGTCCCCTTTCTTTCTGCAGGCTGGCACTGGCTAGTTGCCCTCAAATAAAAGGATGTGCAGCTTCTATCTCTTTTAGACTCCAGCCTCAGATATATATTTTTTAAAAACTTAACCTCTATCGCTGGCTGGTTGCCATCCATCTATCTTAATTAATACGGAAGATCTAAGTCAGTGATGGTGAAGCTTTTGGGCTTGGCATGTCAAAAATTCAGAAAGCATCTCTCTGCACAAAAGAAACAATTCTGTATCTCTCCCTTATCTAGGCTGCCCTGAACAGCAGCACTTGGCAGCACTGAGACTAGGCCTGAAGTAGAAGCCCAGGTCTCATCCTCAACCCTTGCACCACAGCTGCCACTTAAAAAAGCAGCCTTGCTCCATTCCCTAAGGAGCACAAGCCTTGGAGAACTGTGTGATTGCCCCATGGCCCAGCACTCTTCAGGAATTGCCATGCACCATTTACTTTCAGGCGTTCTTTCTCTCTTTTGACAGGCCCTTGCAGCCTATCCAAGGCTGTTCCAGGTTGCATAACACCTTGATTTCTGAAGCAGCTTCATAGAATGTTCTTCCACTGCCTCCAAAAACCATTTAAAAATTGTTTTTGCACAATTTTTAGAGGCTCTGGTGGCTGCACAAGAGCACACTTCATTTTCACATGTCCTCGGCGGTCTCTGAAAATAGTGTGACAATAGGTTATGCTTTCAAGAATAGTTGTTCTCATCTGTTGGTGAACACTAATGTGTCACCCAAAACAATTTGGCATGTCACCTTTGACATGTATGTCATAGGTGTCATATGTTCTCCATCTCTGATCTAAGTACTGTAGTTTGTTTTTTTCAGTCCAGGGCATTGCATCCAAAGTTGGTATCAATCATTCAATTCTAGATCAAGCAAAGCATGTAGAGCACAAATATTTCACTCTGCGCATGGGTTGTCTGGAAGCTCAAAATCATATAGCAATTGTGACATTTTCTTTCGAACTATTTTTCCTGTGTTTCCCTTTCATCTTGCTTTCTGTCCTATCAACCTATCTGGCAGTTCCAGTTTTGGTTCTTCATGTCATCAGCAGGCAGATTACTAAGTGACTTGGGGAGAAGCAGAAAGTGAACAAGTGGGTGATGTGGGGAATAAGTGAAGGCATGGATGACACTTTTTTCCTACTTTTTTCTCCCTTGCAGAGTAGGCAGATACCACCTCCACCACAGCATGGCTTGTGCAAAGCTGTCTTTGCTTTCTCCCACAATACCACTTTGTTCAACATTGGTTTCTCTGCAGTAGCACCAGCTACTTGATGCTGTGGGGGAGACTCGACACTCGCACTGTGCGGGACAAGTGAGCTCTGCAGAAGAGAAGACCGGTGGGGAGGGAATGCCTGTGACTCAAAAATCTGGGACAAATGCATACATTGGGACAGGAATAAAAGCTGAAACAGAATCTGATGTGTGAGCCATCATGAGCCTTACAGAAGAACTCTGCAGGCCACAAATTTGAGATCTCTGGATTAGTATGACTAGAACCCAATAGCTTTTAATTTTGTTAGAATATTTTGAACAAAATAATATGAACTTTGAAAAGAAAGAAAGAAAAACTGGAATCATGCTAAATTTTGTTTAAAAGATCAATAAAATTTTCTAAATATGGCCCTTTAATTATATCTAGAGAAAATGTAATGAAATTCTAACAGTAATACCCTTTGCAGGGATGTGTGTGTGTGTATGTGTGTGTGTATGTGTGTGTGTGTCTGTCTACTTTTCATAAGTCATAGATTTCAATTGGACAAATCTTAGAGCAGTTGTGAATAGAATTGCAGCCTCAGATTATAGCTGTATGCTTACATGTTAGAAAGTACATTTCTTTCATACTGAAGCATATAGCTATAAATGTGGTAAGTTATTTAATAATTGCAAATTCTGTGGACAAACAGCTTAAGTGAATTTCTTAGCAGCAGTATGAATCTAGTGCAGATATTGAAACTTTTCTTCTTTCAGGGTCATGATCCTAAAGAACCAGAACAATTGAGAAAGCTGTTTATTGGTGGCTTGAGCTTTGAAACAACAGATGATAGCCTAAGAGACCACTTCGAAAAATGGGGCACACTCACAGATTGTGTGGTGAGAAATTATATTTCTATGTCTGTGTATTTCAAATAAACTTCTATTCCGCTCAATAGGACTAGAGCATTAGATTTAAACAAAAAATGTTTCAATCAGCATTCTCTGTACTATATATCTCTTGAAGGTGATGAGAGACCCACAGACAAAGCGCTCTCGAGGCTTTGGTTTTGTGACCTATTCTTGTGTGGAAGAAGTAGATGCTGCAATGGCAGCTCGACCACATAAAGTTGATGGCCGTGTGGTAGAGCCAAAGAGGGCTGTTTCTAGAGAAGTAAGTAATTGTTTAAAATGTTATATCTTGATTACACAAATGCTTACTTCTAAATGTGTTTTTCAAACATTGAACTAATTTAAAAGTTTGAAATACTAAATTTAACTTAAATTTTCACAGGATTCTGTGAAACCTGGTGCTCATTTAACAGTAAAGAAAATATTTGTTGGTGGAATTAAAGAAGACACAGAAGAATATAATTTAAGAGATTATTTTGGAAAATATGGCAAAATTGAAACCATTGAAGTAATGGAAGACAGGCAGAGTGGAAAGAAAAGAGGTTTTGCCTTTGTGACATTTGATGATCATGATACAGTAGACAAAATTGTTGGTATGTAGTATTTTGTCTTTGTGATAACGTCTGTTTGATAAATATTGATTTATATTATGTTTTAATAAACAAAGAACTTTTATCATAGGAATAATTAATATAAGATAGTTCGATGTTTTAAAAGATTATACTTTGTAGCCCCAAATTCAATTCTCGACTTTTTTGCCTCCTGTGTATTTACGTCAGTTCCTACAATTTCAAATATCTGATGGTTGTTTATTCACAAGCACATGTTTGACTCCATCATTTCCATTACTTAGAGCTTTCTTGAATTTTTCCACTATGCTTAAATGCCTGCCTGGGAGGCAGTATGATAACCAACATTTCTCATAAAGTACAGTATTTTCAATTTGCTTGTTTGCTGCTATTGGTGCACAGGAGTCCAGTAGCCACCTTTGTACCTGGTTGAATTTCACAAACGAATTGAACAGCCTAACTAATAACTTTAGCAGAATGTCAAAATCTCAAAAGAAACCTCACTCCAAAGGAAATACATACTTCCAGCAGGAGAAATAAGTAGAGGAATGGATTTGAGAGATTCAAGCTCAAATGGTGATTATTGATTACATAAAGGCAGGTTCAAGTCAAAGCTCTAATTGCAGTTTCAATTCATTTTTAAAAAATATATTAAATAACAATAAAATACAAACAAATGTGAAGAAAAAAGGAAGAGGATAAAAGGGTAAAGTTTAAAAGTAACAAAAAGCAAACATTAATTGACCAGAAAGATCATAGCCTCCTCACTATAATTTAATATAATTGGGTCATTACTGAGGAAAGCACCAAAAGAAACTTGATAGAAAAATTGTTTGACAAACCAGCTATTCCCTAAGGCCAAGAACTTTTAGCTCTGTTGCAACAAGGCTTCCCAATCTAATAGCTTCTTACTTGTACAAGCAGAATTTTACCTGTATTCTACACTCATTCAATTGAGTTGGACTGATTGGAAAACATCAGCCTCTGGTACCTCATTGTCATGTTTTGCTTGCTTGCTACTTCAGTCATTTGACTAAGAAGCTCTTTTACTTTTCTTTAAAATTCTCTGGATCTACATACTCTAGAAGAAAAAAGGAGGAGGCAAGTTGATTGGAAACCAGAATTCTGCTTTTTTCTACTCAGGATTGAAAGGCAAACCAAGCCAGAATAGAGGTCAAAAGAATTTTAACTCAATTTAAAGTTAGAGACGAAAGTCTAAATAAATTATTTTGCAAGTGTTTGTGGATTCCCTTGAAAATGAAGAGGTTTCATCATACTTTTAATTACATGTGGATAAGAGAATCTGTATAGGTTCTTTATGTTCCTGTTTGTCTTTTGTTTGTTTTTTATTTTGGTATATTTTACAAAATTTTGCATAAATCATTGAGCAGAATGCATATTTTCATAGTAGTAATTTGTTTCAAAATTTATTTTAGTTCAGAAATATCACACTATAAATGGACATAACTGTGAAGTGAAGAAAGCTCTCTCCAAGCAAGAAATGCAGACTGCAACCGCACAAAGAAGTGAGTCTTAGTCAGTAGGAGTTCAAAATACAGCAGTTATGCTACCTATCGAACACCATTAGACATGCACTATGTTGTTTTTATTTAAGGTCGTGGGAGTAGTTCAAGCAACTTCATGGGTCGTGGGAACTTTGGAGGCAGTGGTGGAAGTTACAACAGAGGTGGAAGTTTTGGTAGTAGAGGTACATGTTAGTTCTTCCCAGTGTCCTTCCAAGGTATTATTTTACACCATTGGTTGTTAACTTGTTCATAACGTAATACTTTTGTTCTGCTTTAGGAAGCTACGGTAGTGGAGGTGGCAGCAGCAGTAGAGGAAGCTTTGGCAGTGGCGATGGATATAATGGTTTTGGTGATGGTAAGCGTGGAAGTGCAAATACAACTTGCATAATCATCTTCTTCTTGTTGTGCCATATCCATCATCAGATGTTGGCAATCCTATTTTTGTCAACAGCCGCATGAAAAAGTGCTGCTGAGTTTTGTCCAAACCAGTCCCTTAGGTTTTGAAGCCATTATGTTTTTCTTCTGCCTGGACCTCGTTTGCCTTCAGTCTTTCCCTGGAAGATTATGTGAAGGATGCCATATTTTTTGGGGTGTCGCATCACATGTCCAAAATATTCTAACTTTCGCTTTTTAATGGCTTTGATGATTTCCCTTTGCTTTTCCAGGTGGCTTATCACCTCCTCGTTTGTGTTTTTGTTAGCCCAGTTTATACGTAACAGCTGTCTGTAAATCCACATTTCAAATGCTTCTAGTTCCTTCAAGTGGTTTTCTTGTCAGAGACCAACTCTACTCCGTAGAGCAGGATAGAAAAGATGTAACATCTGACAAGCCTGATTTTCAGTCTTGGGTTTATGTTGTGACTGCAGAAGACCTTTTTCATTTTGAAAATGAAATGAAAGAAATGAAACTTGCATAATACCTGAGCTGTATTACTTTCAGTAGCTTGACAGCGACACCTGGTTGCACTGGTGTCAAAAAGATTTCAGTTCTAAAGTAGGCTTGGTGAGGACCAGATTGGGAAAGGTTTTTAAGGGATAACATTTTTCTTTATATTTCCTTTATAAAACCACTCCTGTCCCTGGTATGAAAAGGGGTAAGAAGTTATATTTATCATTAAAGAAAACAAAAGTATAATAGGACACAGCTTTTAGTGACTATAGAATATCTTGATATAGGAAATGTTAAGTTGAGGTATACAGAAAATCTGTGTACTGAATAATTAGATAATTTAAATCGGTCATTATTAGCTTAACCCATTAATTTCAATGGAGCACAGTGCCATTGCTTTCAAAGCAAGTACTAAAATATGACCTAATGTGACTTCCTATGGAATATTGCTTATGTTCTTCAAACTAGGTACCTCCATTTGTTTGGAAAAACAGTTCTGATCAGCCAAAGGCATATGTGGTTAATAATCAGGAATGATACATGCTGCAAACCAAAACATCTGAAATAAAGAGGCATTGGCAGAAGGTTGATTGATTTTATTTCTCAAGTTCCACTCTCTTTTTATTTATAACAAATTTTTGTTACATTTAATTCAAGGTGGAAATTATGGTGGTAGCCCTGGATATGGTAGCCGAGGTGGTTATGGTGGTAGCCCAAGCTATGGAAATCCAGGTGGTGGATATGGTACAGGAGGTGGAGGCTATGATGGTTATAATGAAGGAGGAAGCTTTGGAGGTGAGACACCTTGAATTGCATTAGAATTATAAATATAGATATAAATTTAATAAATAAAATATTAGCGTGATCGTTAAAAAGTTCTATAAAATTAATTTTTTTACCTGTCACTTTAAAACATGTAGGTTTCATTAAATAAAATGTTATGCAGTGTAAACATGCTCTCAAAGTACACTTCCAATGTTGTGAAATCACATTGAAATTTTTTTTGAATGATTCAGGGGCATGTGTCAGTGCATGCTGTCATCTATGTTAGATTGGAAGCTTAATTTTCAAGAGCTCCAATGCTAGCTGCTAGGGATATGACATTGATTTTTCTAACCTGTATCTGTTTTATAAGGAGTTTGTTCTGTTAATTTTTCTGTAGCATTCTATAATTATTATTTTTAAAGGAGATGTAGAGGGCATAGGGATTAGCCTTAAAGGACAGAAGGAAGAGCCACTATTAGGCAACGGTCAGATAAGCACCAGGGCCAGAAAACTAATTTGAGGAAACATTTCACACGAGCCCCTCCCCAGCTCAGATAAAGTAAAGGAGTGGGAAGCATATTCAGACATGCAAAATTCTCTTGCTGTAGCTTTACAATAAAGGTAGTATTGACCTTCATGGCATTGGTTTCTTAGTCTGGTCTACATGTAGGACTAACACTAGGTAAATGTCACATTCTTTGTGAAACTTTCCCCAGTACCATTTATATAGCGATAGCACTTTGACTTATATACCACCCCATAGTTCTTTACAGCACTCTTTGGGTGGTTTACAATGTCATCATATTGCTTCCAACAAACGGTTCTCATTTTACCAACCTTGGAAGGATGGCTGAGTCAACCTCGAGCCTCATCAGGATTGAACTTCAATCTGTAGGCAGAGTTTGCCTGTAGTGCTACATTCTAACTACTGCACCAGATATGAAATATTTGGGTTGATTGGTAGCCCACAGTTTCAAGGATAAATATTCCGATCAGCATGTATTTCTAGAAAGAGCAAACTGAATCTATTGATTTAAATCAGTGTTTCTCAATCTTGGCCGCTGGACGATGTGTGGACTTCAACTCCCAGAATTCCGGCTGGGGAATTCTGGGAGTTGAAGTCCACACATCGTCCAGCGGCCAAGGTTGAGAAACACTGATTTAAAAGATGATGAACAAATGAGATTATCAAATATATGCATCAGTATGAGAACTAAAACTTGGAACTAGTTTAAACTTCCTTTACCTAGAAGAAAGATGACTATATTTAAAGAATATTGGGAACTACAGGGCATCATGAAAAAATTATGGGACACTAGGGGCACTTTGAACTTAGAAAGTTTGGCTATCTGCCAGCCGGTTTATGGAGAGGCTGCTATGTCACTTGCTTACAGATTGCTTTTTTTTCCTTATTGAAAAACATTTTTGGTACACTTAAATTGAAGCAGAAGGAGACACATGGCTTTTCTTCCTCCCAGTGTTCCTAAGGCTTGTTTCTCAGGTCATCGTACCAAAGTTACTAGCTGGAATCAAGTATTGTTTGTTTCTTACCAGTGGAGAAAAGAACAGAAACAATGAGTTCATGACTTCCATTTTTGTAGCTAAAAACTGCATATGTTTTTATGTTTTACAAATCACATTGTTCATCGAAATTTCATAAAGTGCCTTCAGTAAGTCCATAAAATGCATATGTTGCATATTAAATTGTATGCAGTAGTGCTTCATTTATTTAATCTAATGAAGTACTTTTCTAAATTACTTCAAATTATATAACAGACTTGATGAACATAAAATTAAATTTCTGTTTTAGGCAACTATGGTGGCAGTGGAAGCTACAATGATTTTGGCAACTACAGTGGACAGCAGGCTTCAAGTTATGGACCCATGAAAGGAAGTGGCAGTTTCAGTGGCAGAAGTTCAGGCAGTCCCTATGGTGGTAAATGCAACATTAAAATATATGCAGCTGGCTAGTATCTTTCAACAAGAACTTCAATATAAACAGTTATACTCCATTTGTAGGTAGCTATGGATCAGGTGGAGGAAGTGGTGGCTATGGTGGAAGAAGATTCTAAAAACTAGTGGGATAATGGTATGTATACTACAAATAAGTGTTTTTAATTAAGCTTACAACATTTCTTTGAGAGTAATCTTTTTTTTTTTATCCTGTATTCAACAGGCTACAGTTCTTAGCAGGAGAAAGCGAGGAGTTGTCAGGAAAGCTGCAGGTTACTTTGAGACAGTCGTCCCAAATGAATTAGAGGAACTGTAAAATCTGCCACAGAAGGAGCGATGAACCATAGTCAGAAAAGTTACTGCAGCTTAAACAGGAAACCCTTCTTAAGGACTGTTAATAGCCACAGTTTGCAAAGAGTGCAGCTATTGATTTAATGCAATGTAGTGTTTAGATGTACATTCCTGACTTTTTTTAATTTGTTGTTGTAGCTTTGTCTTTTCTTTATAAAATCAGGTATATTGCCCTGTAAATTTGTGGTAGTGGTACCAGGAATTAAAAATAATTAAGGAACATTTAATTTTTTTTCAATACTTGTGTAGTTCAGTTTTTTCTTACCGAAACTTCTTTAAACAAAGAAATGTAGTTTTAGGGTATATTCTTGCTAGGAAAAAAAATCAGTGCATTATAATCTGTATTAATTTAAAATAATAGAAATGCTGAACCGTTTTAAGTACTTCTAATTTTTTTCTGCATATGTAACCAAATGACATGAGTTGCACATGCATAGGGAGAGGAAAGATGTTTGCATTAAAGCTTGTTTAGCTGTATAATTAGGACTGAGTCATTTAAACCAATGCTTGTGAATGATAAAAGCTTTACTTTCAAATGAGAATTCCAGATATTTCTGGGTTGTGCATATCATAATTTGTAGCATTTGTTTTTAGTTTAAACCTAAGTAAATAAGCATTGACGAGATCTAAGTTTATTCAGTTTGCCTCCCACTTCGCTGATATATAAAGGAGCTACAAGAAACGTTGGCAGGACAGGTTTCTGCCTTTTATAATTGTTGAGATTCAATTTCCCTCAAATTGCAAACAGATTAAATGCACACATATAATTAAATTAAAACTTTGAATCTAATAGCGTGGGTCTGTTACTTAGCTTACAGTTCTACAGTTTCATATGTATATATATCTGCCCTAAAAATATAGGTTCATCTATAAAGGTGCCTAAATTCTACTGTGTATAATTCTGTATGCCCCTTTCTATCTGATGCTAATTTGCAGCACAGAAACAATCCCTCTGAATTCGTTGGACTAAGTATAACTCTTCTGAGCATGAATGCATCAAGATGTTTCACACACTTTCTAATGCCCTGATAATGGGTCATGAAGATAAAGTGAAAATAGGAGCAAATTTGGTAGAACCTGTTGTTGCTAATGAGGGTCCTATGGCTATAGTTAAATAAAGACTGTTCATTGGAATGATTTGATAAAAATTATTAAAGTCACAATCATGACTGAGTTGTTTACTCCTTCACTTACCTAGGTTTATTTACAGCCATGTTCCCTAATAATTTGCTATCCTTAATTTGATCAGACTTCTTTTTGAACTATTGCCAGAGCAGTGCTTTCTGTCAGTACACATCCAGAAGAGTAGGGCACAGTGAGTAGAAGAAATTCAGACACTTTTCACCTCTTATTTCTGTAGGTCAATGAGTTTAAGATAAACTTAATTCCAGTGTAGGAATTGATGGAACAAATTGCTCAAGAATCAGACATGAAGTCGTCATTGGGTATAGAATGCAATGGTTAATATTTACTTTAAAACTATAAAGTATATAAGGAAATGTGATGGCACGGTGGTTAGAATGCAGTATTGCAGGCTAACTGCCGACTGCCAGCAGTTCGATCCTGACTGGCTCAAAGTTGACTTAGCTTTCCATCCTTCCAAGGTCGGTAAAATGAGGACCCAGATTGTTGGGGGTAATATGCTGACATTTGTAAACTGTTCAAAGAGCGTTGTAAAGCGGTGGTCACCAACTTTTCCAGCTTGGCAGCCCGGCCGAGGAAGGGGGCGTGTGAATAGCAGGCGCATGCATGCACAACTCCATTTGTGCAAGCGGCAGGTGCACATGCCCACCAGTCGGCAAATGGAGCTTCATGCACAAGCTGTGGGGTGCTTGCACACAAAGCTCCACGCATGCGAGTAGCAGGCACTTGTGCTCACTCACAAAGCTCCACTCGCACAAGCAGGGTGGTTGTGCTTGCGCGCAAAACTTCACTTACACAAGCAAAGGGCACTTGCAAGTGAAGCTCAATTTGTGCGGATGAGCACAAGTGCCCTCCGCTTGCATGAGTGGAGCTTCGCATGCAAGTGCATCCTTGCTCAACACCTATGAATGGAGCTTTATGTGCGTGCACTTGCCCATCTCCCGTGGCCGAGTTTCAAACAAGCTGCGGCCCGCTACTGGGGGTTGGGGACCTCTGCTATAAAGCACTATGGGGTGGTATATAAGTCTAAGTGCTACTGCTATAAGTGAACCCAACTCAAGAGTATCAGTCTCCCAAAGATCTGCAGTGTCATATGACTAAATGTGGGAATGAGATGTTCGTTTCTTGATATGTATCTTTTATCTCCAAGAAAGTGTATGCATACCAATAGTCAAAGCTTGTTGAAAGGGATTCAGCTGTTATTGTAGTGTTCTCATGTACATTTCTTATTTTTTAAATTTATATGCTACCCATCTCCCCAGTAGGGTGACTGGGGCTTACATTAGTACACACATGCGCATTTCCTGTAAAGGTAGATCAGATATAACTCATCCCTTCTAAGTCTGTCACTGAATTCAGCAGCAAAACGAGTAATTGGTTAAGACATTCAATCTGTTTTTAATGGAGATGGAATGACTTGATGTTAGAGAAAACAATACCAGTGTGTTAATCTTTTGTAAAAATGTGAAACCTGTAAGGTAATCAGACTTAGACCTAGATCTCTGAATTCTGACAAGTAAAAGGAGTGGACAGTGAATAACCGGCATTAAAGATGTCTTAGTCGAAATGAGGATCAAACGAGATTCAGACAGGACTGCAGCGCCCAAGTCAGCAAATTAAAGGAGGACAAGGCAGCAACAGCTTCAACTTCCAAACAAGAGAAGGCATAAATATACTATGCTGATAGTGAGCAGCTTCCCCAAAATAGTTAAATCTGCCTGTCAGTGATGAAATAACGAAGAAAGTCTAGGAAGAGTTCTTCACCAATTGGAAGCTCCCCAGGTCATAGCTATTTTGAGTCTAGCATTTAGACCTGAAAGGGGAATAAGACTAGGTAAGGTTTGTCTCTAACACTTTTCATGAATTAAAAAATAATTCCTCTCTGAACATGGTAAGAAAGATCTGTTTGACTTGCAGATTGTTGAAGAAACCTCTGTGACCAGAGGTGGATATCTTATTGGAAAACTTTTGCTTGGTAAGAATGTACAACACTAATGTTTCTTTTATTGTATTCTGAGCTCTGAAAATTTGGAGAGAACAACAAACTGGGTAAATGTGAAATATATTGAATATTTATTATTGTATTCAAATCAATGTGGATGGGCATATTAAAACAACTAACTGGCATTTAGATCTAAAATTCTACCATTCACAGTACTTCAGACAGCTGTTATAGAGGTGGGTGATTAACAATTGGACCTTTCTGGGGATGAGGCTTAATTTAGGATTTTGAAGTTTTAGAGACCATATCTATGTGAGGGTGGGGGGAGATCAAATATCCACCAATTAATGAGAAGTAACATTTTTTTAAAATCCTTTGCTTTAGCTAAATTCGTGACTTGTGAATGGCTCAAAAAATTATAGTGGTTTCCAGTAGGGTTCATCATCATCTATACAGTAGACGTTGGTTATAATAGGCAATTTGCACGCAACATCATGTATCGGCATGAATGGAATGGGAGGGGAAGTGAGCTTGAAACGAAACATTTTCAATATGTAGAGATTTTTTCCCCTGATGAAACAACATACCTTTGCTTTAGCATAGGAAAAATGGGTACTCCTTGAAACAAGCTTTATTACCCTGCTTACCAAGAACAAAATGTTGACTCTAGCTGAGTATGTAAAGCAATGGAACAAATTATTTTGTTTTACTTTTGAGAACTCTAAGAACAGTGGTTGGTTGCTTTTTGCATGCTCCTGGCATATAGCTTCTTAATGCTGTTACCAGAATTTGTTAGGAATCATTGTATTGTGGAGGGATAATTTCCCAGTGATTTTGGTAAGAAAGGTGTATGATGCATCACAGATTGTTGAACATACCTAATTACGTACATCAGGCAAGAAAGACGGAAAAAAGCACATAACCTTTCATACAACCTGAAAATCCTTATTTTATTACTTGTGTGATTTTTCAGTTAGAAAAGTAGCCAATAATAAAGTTAGCATTGCTGGATTCCTATTGGTAATGTTTCTAATTGCCAAATTGCAGGCAAGAAAATCAGTAACATTCTCACCTGGAATACTTGATGTGCCCTCTAAATTAATTTTCAGGTAACAAATCTTTAAAACGAGTTTCTGGGGGTTTTAAAGGATTTTTTAAAAACTCATTCTGTAAACCTTAATTGTGTAAACTAATACTGAAATTCATTTGCCTTATTCTGTTGTTATTCTGCATGTAAAAGAGTAGGATTGTGATTCCAGATTGTCTGCATTTTTTGGCTTGTCAGCATCTCAGTTTAACTCACAAGTTATGAATTTATGAGCAGTTTATAATTTCTGTACCTATCTACAGTAGCATCAATTGTACAAATTGTTATGTTATAGTAAATAGGAACTGTGGCTAATTGCAACTGAATATTAGAGAATATTTATGGATTGTGTCTTGCTATTCTAGGACTGAATGGCAAAGAGCACCTATGCTCCCTTTTTGTCTTATGAAAACAGGGTTGAGGCTAAAATGGGTACAGTAATCTCAGCAATCCCCAGCAAGATGGAAATGGGGTGAGTGCATGTGTTTCTCTGTGCCTCACATTTTACTAAAAGAGTATCTGAATCTTGTATGCGCTCAGCTAAATATTTTCCCAAACAAGACGGAGATCAACCGTGTTTGGTGATGGGCTTTAGATACATTATGGTACTAGAACAGTGCCAGCATTAGGGATCTTGTGGTCCTCAGTCAACTATTAGCAAAGTTAAGATATTCAGTAGGTTACCATTCTTAATGTGCTAAATTGTTTGCTTTTATCTTCTGCTCTGCAGGATGACTAATCCTGAAGAAACAATCGTCTGTTTCCATAAATTGAAATTTTTGATTCTTCAATGGAACATGCATACAACTGATAGCTATGAGAGCAAAAATTGAAGCATGTAATAATCAAATGCTTATAATAAAATACAGTTAACCATGATAGTGAATCTCAATTCTAGTACTGGACCATTTATTTCTGCATTAAGCAACCGAGTTGCATGATTTCTTCTAAATTGTTATGACACAAACTTGAAATATTTGAAGCCACTTAGAGGTGTTGGATTCACATTGCTCATTTAGTTCCACATGAAACAACAGGTTCTGTGCAAATGTTCGGCTCTAGCCTAGGGGATATTTCTCAGAGCTTAAGGACACATCCTGCTAGAACAAAACTTCAGGACATGCTTACATGAACAAGCACTCTCACAAATAATTTCTGGCTGACGTGGATTAGTAATTTGTGTTGATATGTCAGTGTCCCATGAATTAGCTGAGAATGAAAAATACTAAGATTTGTATCATATTACTACTTTCCAATGTTCCTGTTTAATTCTGAAGCATAGGATGAGTAATTTTACAATGGCATATTTGCAATTTCATTTTAAAACAGTAATTGGATGCTTTGTAGGCAAGGGAACAAAACTACCCTACCCGGGTATGCTTTTTTTCTTTCGTGAGTCTAAAAAGAATTAAGCATGAGATATAAAAAGCTGAAGACCCTGAACCACATCACTGACTTCCTTAAAACTACAGTGAAAACCCATAACCTAAAAAAGTGGTATCTTGTTCAATAAACTCTTCACACAAATGCTAATTTTTCTTAATGGTAGAAATGTCAAACAGTACTAGTTTTAAGATGTAAAAAAAGAAAAGCCAACAAAAGTAAAAAGTGGTGGGAAAACAGGAACGCTCATGAATGGGCGGATTAGAAGTTACTGTATAACAAGGAGAGGGAGGCCTTCAGTGCTGTGGATCTCATTCTAAAGCCCTGGTTCTGTTCCAGTTCAGTTGCAGAAGTCACTGTGGAACCTAAACCGGCAACAACAAACTTTGCTATGGAACAACTCTCATCTTGATGCCACCTCCAATGCTAAAATCAAAGTAACATGGTCTCTCCACTATTGATTGAAGATGAAATCTCAAGTTCAAATCTTTCAAGCACAAAACCTGTTGGATGACCAATGCTCCCTATCCCCTGTACATTACAGAAAAACGGGGGTGAAATCTATTTTCAGTAAATCTGGCAAAGGAGTTTGAGGTGGTTTTTTAACCTGATGCAATTTTAGATAGTCTTGAAATAAGAGTTGTTTTGGCTGCAATCCCAGATGCTGATTATTCCCTTCAAGCCCTTTGTGGTCATGCGCCTGCTCAGCTGAAAGGGGTTGTTTCAAGTTCCCACACAACAGGATGTAAAAAGAGGAAGGGTCTAGAAATGAACTGCTTCGCTTCCCCCCAGTCTGCTCCTAAAAGTCAGAATGGCTCCCATCCTTATTAATATTTAGGAGGGCTATTAAAATGCTTGGAAAGAAAAGGAGAAAGGGGTGACCAGCAGCAAAGATGAAGGACACAGTGGCCATAGGTCGCTACTGGAAGACCTGAAAAAGTGGGCTAGGGGCAGATCGTCATGGAAATCTATGTGGTGGCTGAATTGACACCAACTTGATGGCACATACGTAGATTCTTTGGAGATAAATGTTACATATCAAACTAAAGTACTGTCCAGTGCTCTTTTCAAAAGACAACTGATCATTTCTTTAAAAAAAAAGTTTCCTGAAAACTACTTCCTAGTTTTTCTTCTGAAATATAGAATAAATGGCTGCACTCTTAAACTTTAAATTGCAAACCTGCTTAATAGAATTGAATAATCCTATTAGAAATATAAAGTCTAACTTTGTATGGGTACTGGACTTAAATCTAATTGTGCAATTATTTGTCTAGTCTAGTGCATCCAAGCTACAAAATTATGAATATGACCAAGGGGTTATTTAACGGAACAATGAAAGGCACATTGGAAGTTTTCCAGTCCAACCCCTTGCTCAAACAGGACACCCTATACCAGGGGTGTCAAATTCAAGGCCTGTGGGCCAGATGCAGCCCACAGGGCCACCCTGGAAACAATGAAGGACTGGCCTACAGTGCCTCTGCCAGTGAAAATGGAGATTGGGAGGGCCGCACATGGCCCACCCATGCTCTGTTTTCAGCCGCAACGGCCTCCTGCAGTCCTCTGCAACCACAACAGACTCCATTTTCAGCGCCCCCTCCCCAGCTCTTTTAGTTGGCAGAGGACTGCAGGAGGCCGTCGCAGCCGAAAACGGAGCCTCAAGAGTGATGTCAATCTGGTCACACCCCTGGCCACACACACCCAGCCCTGCCCCCCCCCGAGGTCAAACACAAACCTGAAATGGCCCTCAATCAAATCAAGTTTGACACCCCTGCCCTATACCATTTCAGACAAGTGGTTGTCCAATCTCTTCTTAAAAACCTAAAATTTAGGATGCCAAAGATCCCCCACTCACCAATAAAGCCTTGTTCAACTACCCAATCTGACTTCAGAAACTTTTAATACATTTCAAGTCAAATATATGAAAATATAAGAGCTAGGAAAACAGGATAATAAAAACTTAAATTCACAAGAAGCTGTGTTCTTCATCCAATAGAATCACTCCCCATTCAACCACATTGTCACGTGGTTGTACAGCTTTGGCAGAAACAAAATCATAATACTTTACATAACAATTTATTATCAAAGAAAAATTTTTTTAACCACTTTAAAAGTATAAAACTCTATCATCTAAAGAATCTTCCAATGAACAGGTTCCTGAAGCCTCATTAATTTTAATGAAAGAATGTTAAGCATGTGCTTAATGTTCCTACTCTAAGCTATTCTTCAAAGTGCTTGTCTTTGGTTGGATTGTGTCCTATTGCTGCATTATGCATATCAGTTTACACTACATTCAAGCTGCTATATTAAAGTAAATACACTTGTAAACTAAAAAAATCATTTGTATTTATAAAACAATGTACCTTAAGACATAAAATAAATTCTGTAAATATGTAGAATTAGCAGTTAAATCACGCTTGGTACTTATTTGAATAAAGCCAACTATAGAAATTGTATATAAATAAGACATCTTGAAATATTTACACAAAACACAAAAACTACTGAAGTGGCTGTTATATAATAGGAAGAACTAGTGTATTGTGGAAATATTACCCATGGGTATACATTTTGTTTTACGCTAATGATTTAGTGTGTTGGTACATTTGACTCTAAAGAAATGTGTAGTCACTTGAGAAAGGACAACGTTGGGTTACATGATACTTATCAATAGAAAATAGCAATGTAAAAATATTCATAGAAATTTTTTTTTTTGTCTCCCTGATCTTCAGAACTTAGTCTCTAGCTTCTTGCTCTTAGGCACAAGGAAAATGCTCCCATCTCTGGTTTGCTGCAGTGAGTAATCATTAGGGGAGTATGGCTTGCCATCTTCATCCCGAAGCATGCTGAAGACTTCAAAGTACAGGGTGCTCAGCTGCTTTTTCAGCAACTGCAAGCTTTTGTCATTCTCTATCTTCTCTTTCAGGAGCTTCTCTTTCTCATCCTTCAGGTAATCCAAATCGTGCTCCAACTCAGTAATATTTTCCAGTTTCCTTTTACGGCAGTTCTGAGCAGCTACTTTGTTCTTGCCTCGCCTTCGTATGTCACGAATCAGACTGAGCTGAGCCTCGTTGAACTGCTGCTTGGACATCATTTCATTGAAGTCATCCACAGGGAGGTTGATGATTTTCTCAACAGGAAAAGGGATCTTCAGAGCTTTTGCTCTCAGCTCATCTCTAGTGAGATAAGCTTCTTGTTGGTTGAAGAACTTATCTTTCATAAATGGAGCTTCAATGTGGCCAAGATTGGCAGGCAATTCTCTTTGAGGTGTACTAGTAAGCGGTAAGTCAGGCTTTGGAGTGCCTTGCTCCAGAGATGGAGAGGCAGGAGCCTGCAGGTGAAATGAATGAATCTGGGCATTGCTTGGTGACACAATTCCAGGGGCGCAATCAATCTCCTCCATTTCTGAATCACTGCATCCAAAGCCTGTATCCTGACAGACTGACGATGACTCAACAGAATGAGCTGGGGAGGTTATATTGGGACTTGCATTCAGTGAAATACCAGAGTCAGAATCATTATACTCTGGGGCATTTCCTACAAGGTCCTGGTTAAAAGCTTTGCACTGTGCAAAATCCGAAAGATCAATCGGTTCACTTAAAAAGCCAGCAACTGCCTGATCCACAAAATGAGATGGTGGGGTAGCCACTCTGCTGTTCATCTTCACATCGATAAAGGAATAGAAATCCTCACAGAAATCAGTGCTACGTTGACTAGAATCTTCTGGCAACCCCATGCTGGAATAGGGATCTTCCAACGGTTTCAGGAAGTCTTCACTGCAGTTAAGAACTTCTTTCTCCATGGCAGATAATGAATTATAGAAGGTAAAGTTATCAGCTGCCTCTGAAGTGGTATTTACGGCAAATGGGTTTGATGTCACATCGGCGAGGCTGTCATTTTGTATATTAAGACACTGTAGAAAGAAAGGTTAAAAAATGTTCAGTAATAAAACTTACATGACAATCTTATTATGTATTTCCATTTTAGAATTGTACTGGGGGGTTTTCTGGTCTGAAAGCCACACTAGAATTTTTAGTGGCATGCTTGTATGCAGCGTAGCAACTAAGCTTTGGTTTAATTCAATTTAAATGTAATTCAGACTAATCACATGATTCCTTTCCATCCGTTTTAGCATTTCTTCCCTTCTGTCACATGAAAAATGACAACTAGGAGAGGACCTCTGAGGAGGACGATCTCCCTAACCGTGTTTTACATATTAGCAGTTTCTGAGCAGGTGAAGCATCTCTGGAGCTAGGGAGGCAGCATTTATGGGTAATCTTGTGCCACACACACATGGAAACTCTGGTTTTTACTGTCACCTTTTTACATACGGTACTATCAGACTAGAAAACCTGGTGAGACAAACATGCAAGAGAAATGAGGAGGGGAGAGAGATGCAAGTAATTAATAGGGCCCCCCTTTCACCGCTGACAATTTCAAAAAGGAAATGTGAATACTGAGAAGAAAGGGATGAAATGCATCAGAACCTTGAAACTACAACTATCAACATTTCAG